AAGGCTTCTTCCATCTCCATACTTGACTTCCTTCCCACTCTTCCACCCCAAACACCCCTCTACAGCAGCCGCTGGGGACTTGTTAGAAATAGATTCTCAGGCCTCATCTCAGACCTGCTGAATCAGAATGTCAGGGCTAGGGACCAGCAGCCTGTGTTTAAGACCCCCTGGCGCAGATGCCCAAGCCTCAACACTCAGTATTGAATAGCCCTTCCCCAGGTGCTCCTGCTGCCCTGTGAGCACTGGGAAACCCCTAGGTTGGAGGGAGAAGAGAACAGGTGGAGAGAAGTTGGTTTTAGCTTTGGTTTTCCCATGTTTTCTTGTTCTATGTTGTGGGAAGGGAATTCTTGTGGCAGGACTAGAAGTCATTTGCCAAGAGTAGTGAGTGGGCACACAGGCAGTAGGAGAGTAAAAACATTTGCAATAACCACAGAAAAGAATGAGGGGGAGAGGAGTTGCCTAAAGACCAGGGTCAGAAATCCCGAAAGGAAGCACAGTCCAGCTAAGAGGAGAAACCAGATATCTTGAAAGTCCGAATCCACAGGTGACTAGATAATCTGCCCCAACGGCCTTCACTGGTCCAGATGCAGAAGGAAGGAAGGAGCAGGTGGGCCCAGCCAGGATGGGGTCTGCTAGAAGAGGGGCTGGCTCAGGCAACAGGGCACAAAGAACATTGCACTGCCATGCATCACATGACCTATCCACACAGCAGCCCTTGTTGAAAACCACTTCCTCGTTTTATCAATGTCCTCAACTCTGTTGAGGCAGTCCAGGCTACCAAGACTCAGGGCAGGGAATCTCACCACACCATCTAGCATTGCATGGTCTAAAGGTCACTGTCTCAGTTATGATGACCCCCTAACTGTGTCTAGGGCTTATAAACGGATGCCCACCTGGTTCCCCAAGTGTCCAGATACCTACATGTTTTCTTAACCGGAAGACTCAGGGCTCACCCACTGCTTGCTTCCCATGCCTGATTCTCCCTAGATTATCTGTTCCAGTAACATGCCAATACCTCTGTTACCTCAGGCTGAGTCTGTCACCCACTGAAAGACCTTTCTGAAACCAATAGCCAGCCGCCTGCCTCCTGGCTACAACCTGGCCTCCCAACTCAAATGACTAGCAGAAGTCATCATCCACTCCACCACCTGGAACCTTCCATCTTACCTGTTACCTCCCCTCTTGATCCCACCTAAATACCCAAGTGACTCCACCTCTAACCTTTGCTGCAACTACTCTCTTAGCTCCAGCCTTGGCCACTTCCTGGCTGGCTCACTGGACTGCATCCCGCCTTGCTCCACCCTCCATTTTCCAGACCATCACACAGACCCCAATCAGCCTCAGAGTCTGCTTACCAAGCAAATCAGACCTTTGCCTAAATGATCAACCAACACACGCCCTGTGCTTTTGCTGTATCTACTAATTTAGGGTCATCCAGATGTGTCCTGCCGGCTGACTCCCACTTCCAACCCCTCAGCACTTGCTTTTGGTGACCCCCATGTATCTCCTAACAGCACACACCCTGCTCAGAGCTGCCAGTCCTGAAAGAGTATATACCACCTGGAGAGAACATCACCATGTTTATCTCTACAAGAGGAAAACCACAGCAACAATGAAAACCTGCAGCCTCGCCTGTCACCACTGTGCTCAGCATTGGTGTTGGATCACCAGCCCTGCAAGTCTGAGAATAACCACCCCAGTCACTGCCCAGACTTTCTACCAACTCCTCCCGACATAGTCTGGCTAGGCTAAAAGTGTCTCAGCTTATCAGTCTTCCCTGGACCCTGTTGCCCTGCCACGCAACCCTTTGGTTTGGGCCCAGGTACTGTCTCACCTCACCTGTCCTTTCTTGGCTGTCCTCATTCTGAGCTGTTAGGCCAAACTCTAAAGTGACTGGGGTGAAGACAAGATGCTCTGGATTTGATGTACACATTTGAGTGGAGAAAGTGATGGGAAGTCACTCAAGAAAGAGGCAAGGAGCTGGGGAAGTCAGGTAACAGAACCTGCCAGGCTGGATTCACAATAGAACCCACTAAACTGGAAACCCACCTCTGCCCTGGGATTCATTTAGATTCTAGGTCACCCGGTCATTAGGGCTCCTCTCGCCAAATGTCACCTCCCTGTGGGGACCTGTCTGCCCTTCCCAGTGTGACCTCAACTTCCAGGACAAGTGAACTCAGCCAGACCCTGACCCCTACTCAGCACAGACCCACCATGGCTGGGACAGCCCAGCTTATGACCAGCAATGTCCATACATGCCCAAGTTAAATTTCTGTATCAACAGAGAATTCCAATCCATGCAAAGAACAAGTATCCTTATCACGCCCCCATCTGCAGCAGGAGAAATGGCAGCTAGGGCACTGCGCGAACCACACAGCTACACTTGCTCGGAGCAAAGCTCAGAGACCCAAATCAGAGTGCCTGCTCCTTTATTGCAGCTGTAGGAAACCTCATGGGTTAGTAGAATCTGTTATTTCTCCCTCATCTCTCCATGTAGAAATCCAAACATCATTCAGTTAAAAAAAAAAAAGCAACAAATCTCAGTTCCCTTCACTTACAACCTTCACAGAGTTTAGTGAACCACTTCAAGATAATTCCTCTTTATTACTAGATTGAAGAAATGTATTTATCAAATTAATTAAATGACTACCCTAGCAGAAGTCATCATCCACCTCACCTGGAACCTTCCATCTTACCTGTTACCTCCCCTCTTGATCCCACCTAAATACCCAAGTGACTCCACCTTTATCTCCCTTTATTCTGGAATAAGACCTGGTCTAATTTTTTTCTTACACAGAAAGCTGAAGGTGTCCATTTCCCAGAAACCGACAGACATCTGAAAATACAAGTAAGACCATCTTATTTATTTATTTATTTTTTGAGTTGGAGTCTCACTCTGTCCCCTACACTGGAGTGCAGTGGCCGCTCCCAGCCACCGCAGCCTCGACCTGCTGGGCTCCAGTGATCCTTCCACCTCAGCCTTCCCAAGTAGCTGGAACTACAGGCGCGCGCTACCACACCTGGCTAATTTTTTATTTATTGTAGAGATGAGGTCTCACCAAGTTGCCCAGGTGGTCTCAAACCCGCGGGCTCAGGCAATCCACTCACCTCAGCCTCCCAAAGCGCGGGATTACAGGCTGAGCCACTGAGCCCGGCTAAGACCATCTTTCATTTGAAACAGGGAAACAGACTGGGATTTTTTGTATTTTTTTTAGAGACAGGGTCTAGCTCTGTTGCTCAGACTGCAGTGCAGTGGCACAATCATAGCTCACTGCAGCCTCCAAATCCTGGGCTCAAGAGATCCTCCCACCTCAGCTTCCCACCACCCCCAGCTTTTTTTGGGTGGGGGAGAAGGGGGTTGGGGGCATGTTCTTGTTTATGTTGCCCAGGCTGGTGTCCAACTCCTGGCCTCAAGTGACTCTCTTGCCTCAGCCTCCCAAAGTGATGGGATTACAGGATTGAGCCACTGTGCCTGGCCCCTAGAATGTACCTTCTAAAAAAATCAAATGAAAAAACAAAGACACAGGGAGGACTCACAAAAACACAGTATTTTATTGCACCCAAATCTTGGCAACATGTGGGGTTCCCCAGACCCCTGGAAAGGAGGTGTGGAGCACAGGGGATGCAGACTTATGTACAGAGAGGTGCAGCCACACAACCAGGTACAGGCAGGTAAGTGAAAGCACCTGGGAGCCCAGGGGAGGTGGCTGTTATACAAGCTTCCTTCCTGCCCCTAGCTCCACTCCCAAGCATGAAGTAAAACTAAGTCAGCCAAGTGACTGCTATTATAAAGGCTTTAGTTATTTATATATTTATATATGTACATGTCATCTAGCATTTGGACTAATTTTCTGGGCTTCATTCTTTTCCTTCCCTGTTTGGCTGATGGTTTTCTGTGGAAGGAAAGGACTTGTTTCTATCTAACAGTGACAAATGCTGTGGAAAGTCAGGCCAGTGCTCACCACTGCCCAAGAGATAACGGATATATTTTCCTCAGGAAAAGGTTTTACAATTATCTAGTGGAGAAAGAAGAGCCTGATTTTGAGGAGAGGAAAGAGGAAAAGGAGATAAATTCTGTGCTAGCAGACAATTAAAATTTTCAAATACAGAACACCACAGAAAAAATATGGTAGGGGAAACAGTTCATACAGGAATGATTGTCAACACCTCAAGAGGAAAAGGCAAAAAACCCACCCATGACGGCATCTGCTTTCCCTCCCAAGATAAGTCACAACGTCACAGAACACTGAAGCTAGCTTTCATCTTTGACCATTCAGAAATGGTCAAAGTCCTCTGAGGAGAGAGTGAAAGGCGCACTGACCAGGTCAAAAAAACCTGCATTCACTTGAGCCGGGGCCAGAGGCAGCCAACCAGTTCAGGTCTTATTTACAACCGAACCCACTAAACTGGAAAAACCCACTTCTGCCCTGTATCAACAGTCTAGACAGTCTAGAGTGGGATGTACTGGAGGGCCACCTCCGTTTCCAAAAAACTGCTCTGGGATTCATTTAGATTCTAGGTCACCCATTCATTTTGGCTGCTCTCACCAAATGTAACCTCCTGGTCACCAGGCTCCCCGCAGGGACCTGCCTGCCTCTTCATCTGCCCCTAATCTCTCCTACCTTCATAAAAAGAGAAATCCAAAAGCTGGAAGAAAAACCAGAGTCACCCACATGAAAAAGAAAGAAAGAATCTCCCCACATGGAAAAAGCCACTCCTCCTTCCACACAACAGTAGCAACCCAGGCCCTGAGCAGGAGAGGAGCAAGAAGCCCAAGCTGACCGAGGAGGAGGGTGATGAGGACAAACAGGCCACCGACGGGGGCCAGGAGACTGGTCCAGAGGAGCCACTCTGATGGAGGTCTCACTTCCACACCAAGTCCATCTTTACCTGTGATGACTCGAGGTACAGGACAAGGAGATAGACACCATGGGGTAATTTTCAGATTTACTCTTATGCCTTCTACCACAGCTAGGTCATTTGTCTTTTTTCTGAAAATATCACTTTCACTGAGGATTCCCCATATTTATTAAATTGCAAGTTGTGTTGCAAGCAGGCACAGCTTGAGCAAGATAAAAAAGTAATCTTCATGAGTTATACAATCATCTAAATTCAAAAGCACTCACACAATTGAGCACACAAAGCCAGTATTTGCATATTAAGGAAAGGAAACATATTGCTAATGGAAGCCACAGGCCTGGTCAAAAATAAATGTTTTATATTGAGTAGTAAAATAAACAGAGAATTCTATCCAAGACCACCACCTCAGTAAAGACCTGTGGGTTATTGCAGCTGCAAGGGAAGCTACAGCAAAGTCACCTCAGAATAAATAGCAGCCCTAAAAGCAGATGTATCAGCACGTAATGTCAAGGGCTCCCCCGACCCCAAACAGCCTCTGCTTTCCAGAGACAGTCTAGAATGATCCACAAGGGAAGGATACACTAAGGGCCACCTCCAGATCCAAAAAAGGGAGAGGCAATCAGGTGGGGCCAGCCTGGGACTCTTCCCTTCTGAGGGCAGATAGGTAAGACTTACAGACACAGAGGCCCCACCGAGGACACAGCTCAGGACAAGGCAGAGCTCGGGACAAGGCAGCAGTGCCAGCCACAAGGAGCAAGGGATGGCTCCCAAAAGGAGAACAACCATCACGCATGCCTGCCATGCTGAGCTGAGAGGATGCCAGTGGGGCGTGTGGCCATGTCCCCCATTCTCTCCGACAGCCCCGTTCTGGGAGCAGACACCTTTGCCAGCATAAACTCTACAGTCCACAAACGTGAGGATGCTGGGCCCATTCCACATGTCTAGCAGACATGGGGCCATCTCTGCTCCACACACACGCTAGTTTCTCTTGTAGGGCTTGCTGTGAATGTCACTTAAGAGGTCCTGACCTATAGAAGCCTCAGCCTCTATGTGGGTCATCTGCAAACAGTGTTGCTGGGAGAGGTCCTGACGATGGCAGGTTCAGTTCACAGTGCAGCGGCCTGGAGGTGACAGGGCAGCAGAGCCCACACAGACGGTTCCCTCAGATCCAGACAGACTGTTCCCAGGAAGTGACACCTTGTCTCCAGGAGGCTGTGGAACAAAGCACATTGACCCTGACAGTAAGAAACAAGACCTTAACATTCCCACTGCCACCCTCAGGTATGAGTCCAACACAAGAAACCAAGGTATGGCATCTCAATGTAGCTGGCAAACCCCACATGGTCCTCTTCTGCAGGTGACCAGAGCATACACCTAGACACACCCCCTACACCCACACATACATACCCTATACACACACATACCCCACCCCCACCCCTACTTCACCCCCGCCAGCTGACCTATTTCAATAGCAGCAAATTCAGCGACGATAGCTGAGGCTGGCAGCCTTAGCTGGATGAGTCACAGACCAGAAGTTCCGTCTACTCTGAAGTTTCTGGAAGGCGTTGAAGTTTCTCTTCTTCTCTCTCTTGAATTTTTTAATTTTCTTTTCCTATATCAAGAGTAATAGGTGTCACAATTCCCAAAAAGGACTCTTTATTGCACATATATCCCAGCTTACTAAGTGCAGGCACAGTTCTCATGACTCCGCAAACAGATCTACCCTTCACAACGACCTTCTGTGAGAAGTCCCTCGCTGTCCCCACTTTCCTAGTGAAGGCACTGAAGCCACAAGAGGACCAGTGCCTTGCCCCAGCCCCACAGTCTCGCTCCAGTCTCACGCCTGACCACTCCACATCACTGCTCCTACTTCTAACTGCTCTACAAGTTCAAGTTCTCCTTGCCCTCAGCCCTAAGCAGAGCCATGCCACCCTGCTCCTTCAAGGCCATGGTCATGATCACACGCCATACCTTCCCCCGATCAAACTCTTCATCCCAGTCATCAACCACGGTCTCGGTCCGGGACAGCCTGCTGTCTTCAATAGCATCCTGACTAACCGCCGACATCTTTCCATCCCAGGTCAAGACTACAAGACAGACACATGGTGTCAGCATAGTGTGGGTTCCCAGCTACCCTGTGAATTTATTTCAAGAACGTCATGACCAGGTGCGGTGGCTCACGCCTATAATCTCAGCACTTTGGGAGACCAAGGTTAGAGGATTGCCTGAGTCCAGGGGATAGAGACTAGCCTGGGCAACTTGGTGAGACCTCATCTCTGCAGTAAACCAAAAAATTAGCTGGACATGGTGGTGCACACCTGCAGTTCCAGCTACCTGGAAGGCTTGAGCCCAGCAGGCCGTAAGCGTGCCACTGCACTCCAGCCTGGGGGACAGAGTGAGATTCCAACTCAAGAAAGGGAAGGGGAAGGGGAAGGGAGAAAGAGCCTAGCTCTCCCTCACCCGCCCGCCCCCCATGCTGCAAAGAATCAAATGCCCAGAACTCCTAACCCATTTCCTTTAAAAAAAAAAAAAAAAAAAAAGAATGCCGTTCATTAATTAACATAGTCACTAATTAACCGGTCATCCCACTCAAACTTTTCAGGTGCTACATTTTGGTGAAATCAGACATGCAAAGAACGACAAAAGGAGGACAGAGTGATGCCATGCACACAGGATGGTCAACACAGAAACCTCAGCCACGCCACCTTTAATTAGCCCTCTGCAGTACTGTTTGCAAAGTCTAGTTCTTTTTAAACACATGCCCTCATCTGAGGAACAAAGACCTCATGTTTGTTCTCAAGTCTGACTTAGTGAGAACTGACATCACTGGGGTTGAAAGAGCCTCTTCTTCGCTGTGCCTCCAAATCTTTACCAGAGACCCAGCCGACCTCTGAGGTGTGTAGCTGCTCCTTGCCCTGCCCACAACCCCTGCTGTTCTAGATCCTTCCATAGACAGACCCCATCTTCATGCCATGGCCGGCGGGGGGGATAAAGAGAGAAAGAGAATGCCAACGAGTATTTAGATTTCTCTTGTCATTCTCAAAGCCAAGCCATGCCTGCCTCCATGCTCACCATGCACCAGGATCCACCCCACACCTTTCCCACCACCAAAACAAACCAAAGGAAAACAGAAGTCCTGTCCCCAAGCCAGTACCTTTTTTCCCATAAGCTCTATCAGATGAATGTTTGAGCAGTTCCTGGACCACATCAGATTCTTGCTCTCTGTTCCTGGATATAAGAGGAGCCTGCCCCAGCCCTGCAATCAGAGTAGCCAAGAAACATTTATGTACATTTGAAATAAACCAATGGAGAAACAATCACACATCTTCTGTTTATTATAATAGAACTGCAGAACTTAATCATGACAAATGCCTACCTACTATTGCTTAAATGCCTAAATTACTAATGAGGACCTGACATGACAAAAAAGGCTGTTGTCCGAGTCAATTTGTGAAACAGAAAAGATGGAAAACAACAAGAAGCTAAACAAAAACAGCCTCTAAGCAGCAGTGTGAGTCCTTGGTCTGATGGGGGGAGAGGAAAGAACTAGCTCTAAATGAAACCTACCTCGCCTGTCAGAGATGGCCAGGGCCTCGGGAGCAGAAGTCAGGGATGGCTGCAGGAGTAGAGGGAGCGTCCCTATGCCGCCACTGCCATTGGGGCCCTTGAGCTCCCCAGCCTGCCTAGAGGGATCCCGGTCACTCCATGGGTCTATCCGGCACCACCCACATCAGGTTCTAGAAAAAGTTTCTGAACGAGTCCTCTCCCGCCTGCCCAGGCCCCTCTGATCTGTCTGTCTACCACTCAGCTCCCAGAATGTACTTAAGTTCCCTGCTCACAAACCTGGGATGTATGACTGCACCCAGCACCAACCCTGGCATACTGCAAGTATTTACCCGAAGTCCCTGGAATCCTGCACTAACAAGCCAGCTCCCTTTACCCTGAGCACTGGGGGAGCACAGCTCTAGTGCCACTCTAGCACAGCCCTTCTGACATGTCACAGCCACTGAACAATCCTCACTGCCTAGCAGCAGTGCTTTGGTTTTTTGTTTGTTTGTTTTTTGAAGTTGGAGTCTCACTCTGTCGCCCAGGCTGGAGTGTGGGGGCACACTCACGGCCACCCCAGTGTTGACCTGCTGGGCTCCGGCGATCCTTCCGCCTCAGCCTTCCAAATAGTTGGAGCTACAGATATGTGCCACCATGCCCAGCTGATTTTTGATTTATTGTAGAGACAAGGTCTCGCCAAGTTTCCCAGGCTAGTCTCGAACCCAAGGACTCAGGCAATCCACTCGCCTCGGCCTCCCAAAGTGCTGGGATTACAGGCTGAGCCATCAAGCCCGTTTTTTTTTGAGTCAGGGTCACACGTTGCTGCCCAGGCTGGAGTACAGTGGCACGATCATGGCTCACCACAGCCTCAAACTCCTGGGCTCAAGCAATCCTTCTGTCTCAGCCTCCTCCCAAGTAGCTGGGACTACAGTATGCCCAGCTAATTTTATTGTTGTAGAAACAAGGTCTCACTATGTTGCCCAGGCTGGTCTTGAACCCTTGGGCTCAAGTGATCCTCTCACCTTGGCCTCCCAAAGTGCTGGGATTACAGAAGTGAGTCACTGTGCTTGGCCAGCAGTGATTTACAATGTAATGCATACTGTTCTATTTTTAGTTATAAATTACTTTCTTGGGAGTTTGATATGAATCACTCTTTAAATATTCACTTGCCCCCAAAGGTACGGACATAACCGGATCCCCAGCACAGCACAGCAGGCCTCACTCAAGCTCAGCCACTCACTAAATCCATGCCCAAGCAGCAATGACTTTCTCTACCCTTCACTTAATAGACATGCTGTGTGGCAAAAGCCTGCTAAGGCATGCCCCAAAAGTCCTGAAAAAAACAAAACAGACCAGGGTCGGTGGCTCAATCTATAATCCCAGCACTTGGGGAGGCTAAAGCAAGTGGATTGCCTGAGCCCGTGGGTTCAAGATCAGCCCAGGAAACCTGGCAAGACCTTGTCTCTACAATAAATAAAAAAATTAGCCAGGCGTGGTAGTGTGCGCCTGTAGTTCCAGCTACTTGGAAGGCTGAGGTAGAAGGATCGTCAGAGCCCAGCAGGTCCACGCTGGGGTGGCCGTGCCTGTGCCACTGCACTCCAGTCTGGGCAATAGAGTGAGACTCCAATTCAAAAAAAAAAAGAAAAACAAAACAGAAACCCCTACGATGATGAGGTAGTGCCCAATGGCAGCCACGCACACAGGTCCCCAACAGCGAGAGGACCGTACTGTCTTCATAAAGGCCCAGCTACACAGAGGTCAAAGAAGCATCACTTTTGAACCCAATTCCTCTATCTAATTTCAAGCATCATAGGAAAGAGGTGGGAAGTTCAGGGTGTCATTCCCATGGGAAGGTTTACACAGGAACAGCCCTGAATCAGAAGACCTGCTGTGTTCATGAGACATTTTAAAGCTCACGAGCACTGTATCTCTTCCCATGGGGTTGCTGGACAAAAGAGGAAGCTGCAATCCCACTGCCCAAGAAACAGACCCCGAAGGGTGGAAGTAAGTAGGGCCTGGGGTCTCTACATCTTCCCCAGTCCTCCCTGTGCTAGTCACAGCAGGTGCCACTTTAGCCCAAGTGCTCTCCTTGCCTGGGCACATACCCACGCAGTCCCCAGGATGCCGGCCGTTCACGGGTGGTGAGTGGCCACTAGACTCAGGGACAGCAGTGTCACAGGGTCTGGCATTCCTCTGGTTTTCTGGGAGCTGATTCTCTTCTACTTCCTGCTGTGACTCTTGCTTTCTCTTCTTCTTTTTCTTTTTCCTTGGAGATCCTGCCATAGTCTCGGACTCGCCACAGTCCGTGGGAGAGCAGCTGCTGGGAAGTCAGAGCCAACAGTCAGCCCTGAGCAAGGTGGAAGAAGAGCAGCTCACAGACAGACACACGCCTTAAACTCTGCACAGACCACCACCCCAGATGTGACCCAGAGCAGAGTATGCCAGCCTCTCCCTGTAACATTGTCCCTCCACACGCACGAGTGGACATTTCATACGTCAGCCACAAGACGTCAAAGGGAAAACCAGTCAGGCTTCCACTCCTAAGGCGAGTCCTACCAGCCGGATGCGTAGCTGCTGTGACCTCTGCAGAGCATGACCTGGCCTGGAGTCACCTGACCCAGCATTCCTGGACTGCCCTGCACATGCAGTGATGGCCAAGGTCTGGATGCTACTGTCAACTCTCCATTGTCACTTTTAGAACAATCCAATGGTATTTATCACAGGAGACGTTTTACTACACATTCACATTTTAGAAGTATAGATCAGCATCCTACATTTCCACACAAACCTACCTGGAGACAGATTTTTTTGGTTTTACTTTGTTTCTTGAGGGAAGTGCATAGGTGCCACCTCACTCCTCTTTTACCTGTGCCAAGGTGGGTACTGGTGCAGGCCAGCTTCCTTGTCAAGGCCCGCTGCTCCCTTCCTTCTCCTCTTCCTGCTGTTCACATGGTGGCCATCCATGACACGTCCTGCCTGCTGGCCATTCCCCTGTAGCCAGACGCCCTCTTCCTCCAGTCTGTCAGCAGGCAGCTCTGCCTGGCCCTTCCTCCTGCCCTCAGGGCTCCAAGGCCACCTTTGTGTCTGCCCCTCCAGCAGGGCGGCTGTGTCCTCCAGGCGCTTCCTCTTCTTCCTTTTCCTCTTCCCATGGGGAGCTGCAGGGGTCCCCTCAATGTGCTGTGGGAGGCAGGTCTCTGAGCTTGGCCTCTGGAGCTCTCGCACAAGGGTCTTTTTACTCTTCTCAGAGGGGTTCAGGGGGGCCTTGTTGGCCTCTGGCAGCTGGTGTAGAAGGGAAACGAAGTCCCTGTGGACCTGAGGCAGGGCCGTCAAGGCCGAGTAGCAGCTCTGTGGTTCTGGCATTCCTGGGGGCTGGGGACTACAGGACAGCGATGTGGAATGGGGTCTGAAGGAAGGCTGTGGACGGCTGGATGGTCGGGGAGCAGGTGACGCAGCCCTGTGGGGACAGGCAGGCAACGGGGAGAAGCTGTTCTGAAAGACCCAGCAAAGTCGTTCCTTCTGCCCACCCTCACCCCTCCCTTTCACCTGAAAGTCTCAAAGGTTTTTTCCCCCATAGCTCTCAGTTACACATAAATAACGTGTTTGTACAATAAACTTAGAATCTATTTAAGATCAAAGTTAGCAAGAATTGTTGTCTTAGTTTCTTGTCACCAAGCGGTTTAAAGTCTTTCTGCAAGCTCTAATGTTTTCCACTTTTAATACAAATGTGTTAAGGGAAAAAGCCTTTAATGAGCAATAAATGGTAACAAAAAATCCTGTTAGGATTTTCCAACTTCTGGAAGTGTCGGAGTGTTCCAGTCCAGGAAATGAGCCTTGCAGGAAAGGCAAGTTTGGGTCTGAAGAGTCTTCCACACTACAAATTGGGAAAACATTTGTGGAGCTGAGTTACATAGAAGACATGTGAGGAACAGGACCTTGCGCCACACGGATAGGCCTCTTTGATCCTCTGCTTGCTAGTGTGTACCACTTGCAAAGCTGATTTACCACTTTGAACCACAACATTCTCGTCTGTCAAGGCGTTACAATAACGCCAGCCTCACAGGGTTATCGAATTAAATAGGACTGTCATCCTCACCACCTAAACTAGAACAAACTACAACTGTACTACAGTGTCGCAATATTCTAAGTGTTTTCTGGAATTTTTTTCAAAACAGGGTATGGACCAAGAAAATAAAAGACCCAATAAATGCCTCAAATGGTTAAGGACTTCACATGCGCAAAAATATGATCCTAGGTAGAGAGCTCATGCTTGTGTGTGTGTGAGAGAGAGTGAGTGCAAGGAAGGCAGAGGTAGCAGGGGATCACAAAGTCAGACACGGCCCTCATGGAGCGCTGGAGACAGGCTGATTCATGCAAGTGGAACTCAGAGCACCTCAGTGCCCAGGCAAACACCAAATCACCCCAGGAGATAGACTTGCCCTATCTTTCTTTGCTTCCTTCTTTCCCAGTCACCAAAGGCTTTCATATCCCCATCAGCTATCAGACAACCATTTACCAGTAATTCTCAACTTCCTGCCACTCAACACACCGAAGGGACATAAGAAGCCACCTATAACAGCCTCAATGCAAGGGAAGGATCTGAAACTTCAGGAAATGTCTATGGAAAGTCTGAAAAGCCCCAAAGGCAGAACTGAGCACAAAGCAAACAGCCCAAAGAGCCCCAGACAGGGCTGATGAGGCAGCCCTACTCCAGGGACAGAAGCCCAGGGGGAGACCACAACATGACACTGGCAGGCAAGACGCCCTGAAGGAATCCACAGGACTGAGCTCCCTGGGGTCTTGGAAAGCCAGCATTTCTCTTCGATTAGGAAGTACTGTCGTGGACTGGCAAGCGGCTGCAGGACAGGTCAGTCCAAGCATACCAGGTCACCACACAGATGTGGCGGACGGATCGATAATAAGAATTAAAAAAAAATCAGGAGCCAGGCTCGGTGGCTCAGCCTGTAATCCCGCGCCTTTAGGAGGCTGAGGTGAGTGGATTGCCTGAGCCCGCAGGTTCGAAACCCATCTGGGCAACTTGGCGAGACCTCATCTCTACAATAAACCAAAATGAGCCAGGCGTGGTAGCGCGTGCCTGTAGTTCCAGCTACTTGGAAGGCTGAGGCGGGAGGATCGCCCAGAGCCCAGCAGGTCGAGGCTGCGGTGGCCGGGAGCGGCCACTGCACTCCAGTCTGGGTGACAGAGTGAGACTTCAACTCAAAAAAAAAAAAAAAAAAAAAATCAAGACTGCAGGGACTGAACTGCCTCCGACCACCTGAAGCTCCTGTACCAGACGGGATCAAAGAAGAGGGGGAGCTCAGCCAGTGACGCCTCCATACCTCCTCAGTGGCACAATGCTCTGTCCATCCCATGAAGCTGGCGATTATCCAACTCACCAGCCAAGCACCCGCAACCACAGGGAGACCAGGCGGCACCCACAAGGGCCTGCACCCAAAGCTTACCTGGTTTTACAGACAGGCCAAGTGGAGGCAACGACGGGGTGAGAGGTTTTCATGGGGTGGGTGAGGTCGGAGAATGGTGAGGGGGGAGGTGGACGGAGGTCATTGCCGGTCGCCCTCCGCAGGGTGCTGGCCTGCAGTTATCGACATAAATAAAAACTTGGTGGTCTAAAAAAGGTTTCCGTGAGTGAAGAGGGAAAATAAAAATAACAAAACAAAAAAAAAATAAATAAAAGAGCCCAGAAAGAAAGATGAAAGGACAGAAGAAGAAAACAGAGGGGAAGGTAGGGGGTAGGGGAATGGTAGAAGAAGAATCAGAAAAGTGTTTTTGGTTAGAAACAAAAAGGAAAAAAGGAAGGAAATTTAAATTTAAACAAAAATCTCAGCACGACAATCACATCTTTGTGTCACTGCCATCTTAAGAGCTTCCCACCGCAGAAGAGTCAGGTAGCCCCACTGGGACCCATGCTCCTACCAGTCCCCACACCTGCTGGGGATGCATTCTGGTGGGGCCCAGCTCTCCTGGGGCTGTTAGGATATTCGTCTACAACAAAATCGGGAACTGCTGTCTCACCCAAAACCTCATGAGCCACGTGAAATCTTACTGGACAACTGGGGTTCCCTCAAAACCCCATTGTCCTCACCTCCAGACAGCCCTTTGTAACCTGCAAATGGCTGGGAAGACCTGGAAGACACCCTGTCCCTCTGCAGTGAAGGTCAAAGCCCCTAGACAGTGAGCCCACTCCCCCAAACTACAATCAATCTACTCCTCCAGCCCTACAGATACACTTCAGCGACAAGACCCCAACACACCCACCTTCTTGGCAGAAAGGGCCAGTTTTTTGGCTGGTGGAGGAGACATGGTGCTTGCAGGCTCAGTGGCTGTGTTGCTCAGGATGGGGGACTTCAGCTTCACCATCTTAGGATCTGCTCCGCTGGGAGGTGCTTTGGAGTGGCCGGCGGTGGGACAGTTTGTTTCCTGAGAATCACAAAAGTGGGCAGCTCCACCCTTGGGGGTCTGCGGAGCTTTGGCGGAGTCACTGCTGGCAGAGTGCTCTGGGCTGGAGCTGCTGGAATCCCTCCTCTCAAGGTCAGAGCTCTCGCCACTCCCCTTCGGCCCATGCCCGTTGGCAGTGGCTTCAGCCAGGAGCTTCGGTGAGGTAGAGAGGACGCCGTCCCTGCCGTCCCAGGAGCCCTGCCTTTGGCTCCCAGCTTTGCTGCTACTCGAGTTGCTGGTACCAGGTAAGCCCTGAGAAGTTTTGAGTGATGGGGAAAAGTGCTGTAGGGAAGTTGATTTCTTCCCCTTCTTTCCGGGCTCATCTAGGATGGTTGGCATGTGTATGGGTGTCTGGGAGAGTTTAGAGGAAGGGGACCCCAAGGGTGGCTTTGGAGGAATATATCCGTTCTGAGACTTAAGGCCCGGTACAGAGCCATTCCTGGAAACGGGCACACCAATCTCTTCAGTGGCATGTGGTTTTTTCATTGTCACAGAGTCTTGTCGCTAAAGGAGAACAAAGCAGAAAACACTTATCAGAGCCTTGGGGGAGCGCTGGCCAGGTAACTCCCTCACAAGGCCACAGCATCTTAGCAGTAGGCATGGCCTCTGGCTAGCAAACTGAAGGCAAAGTATTTACACGGATACATGGTTAAGACATTGTTATTTCTTTGAACAATTTTAGAATTTTCTGACTTGTGTGCATGTGAGATCACATCTTTTGTTTTTAATCGAAGTCTCACTCTGTCACCCATGCTGGAGTGCAGTGGCATGCTCATGGTCACCGAAGCCTTGACCTGCTGAGCTCAGGTGATCTTCCCACCTCAGCCTTCCATAACTGGGACAACAGGCATGTATCACCATGCCCAGAATATTTTTTGACTTATTGTAGAGATGAGGTCTCACTATGTTGCCAAGGCTGGTCTTGAACTCCTGGGCTCAAGCAATCCTCTTGCCAAGACCTCTCAAAGTGCTGGGATTACAGGCGTGTGTCACTGTGCCCAGTCTATGTCCATCTTTACTGTGAAGCAGGACATTTTTATCAAGATCTGAGAAATACAAAAAAATCTAAAGGAAAAAAATTTACTAACGTTCCATCACCTGAACATAACTATTAATGTGTCTCCTTTTTGTCTTTTCTTCTAAATGGTTGCAGCCTGCATAGCTGCATCTGTTTTAGCCTAACATTATTATCTGAAGCATTTTTATAGGTTATACTCTCAATAAATGTCTTTAATCTTTGATTAGTAACCATTTCACTGTTTGGTTAACATATGTAACCATCCAAATGTGGTAGTTGATATTAATAACACAGTATTATATGTGTACATGTACCCTTTTTCCTTCATAACACTTATAACAGTTGGATGAAATAATTTTTCTAGATTTAAGTGCTTGACGTTGGTCCTTCCTGCTTGACCACAAAGTTCCATGAGACTTCTATTTCTATTGGCCACTTTAGCCTTCACCACCAGCTCAAGGGTCTGGTATATGATATGTGCTTGAAAAGTATTTGTTGAATGAACAATCAAAAGGTTGAAGCTTTTTCTGTACTAATTACTTCATGCTAATTTTTAGAAACAGAATTAGTAGGCTATGAATATTTTCATGAAATTTGATGCATATTGCCAAATTCCATTTACTCTTAGCAGCAACATATATTTCTTTCTCAAAACATTTGCTAATCTGACACTATTTTTGCCTATTATCACGTTAACATTCATACTCTTTGCATATGCACTGGAGTGACTTGTAATCATTTGAATGAGTTCCTTATACGTTACAAATATTTGTTGCAAATATCTTAAAGGTTTGTTTGTTTTTGAGGCCGGATCTTGCTCTGTCTCCCAGGTTGGAGTCCAGTGGTGTGATCACAGCAGATTGCAGCCTCAAACTTTTGGGCTCAAACTATCCTCCCACCTCAGCCTCCCAAGTAGCTGGGACTACAAGAATGCACCACTATGTTTCGCCAATCCGCTTGCCTCAGCCTCCCAAAGTGCTGGGATTGCAAGTATGAAGCATGAAGCACCACATCCAGCCCTAAAGTTTTTTTCTTAGCAAAAATTTAGGTACAAAGATTTAAATTTTAGTTTAGTCAGTATATGATTTGTTTTCCTGTATTTTATCCCTCATCTTTAAGCTTACAAAATCTTCCTTCTTCAAAGGTTTAATAAGAATTCACTTATATATTGAGTTTGTTCTTTTTCTCCCCTACATTTTGTAACAGTTTATTCTTTTTTTATTTTTGAGTTGGAGTCCCACTCCGTTGCCCAGGCTGGAGTGCAGTTGCACACGCAGGCCACCCCAGCGTCAACCTGCTGGGCTCAGGTGATCCTTCTGCCTCAACCTTCCAAGTAACCGGAACTACAGGCGCATGCTACCCTGCTCGACTAATTTTTGATTTATTGTAGAGACAAAGTCTCTCCAAGTTGCTCGGGCTAGTCTCGAACCCGCAGGCTCAGGCAATCCACTCGCCTTAGCCTCAAAGTGCTGGGACTACAGACTGAGCTACTAAGCTCGGCCAATAGTTTATTATTTACTAACACTGTTTTCCAAAAGGAATCATCTACCTACTACACTACAAAGCCCTTTCATTGGTTAAACATTTCCATAGATACTAGAACTCACACCATGTTACCTAGAGTAAAATCAGAAAACTTTTTTTTTACTAGGACCAACCACTACCAAGTGATGGAATCCATTTTGTAATGAAGATGCTAACAATCAGTGAAGCAGTCCTGCAGGTGTGCCTGACACAGGGACACTGTGTGCCCACCTTTACCCTCAGGCACCACTCTTCCCTATGGACTTACTGCAGCAAGTGAGGCTTCCTAACTTTCTGGTGTGGGCTATAGTGACCACCAATTTTGCAATTAGATCATGTATTTTACTTTATCTCTGAGTCAGAATCTTGCTCTGTTGTCCAAGTTGGAGTGCAGTGACACAATCACGGCTCTCTGAAGCATAGACTTCCTGGTGACTCAGGCAACCTAAGCCTCCTGAGTAGCTAAGACTACTAATTTTTAAAATTTTTTTGTAGCAACGAGGTCTCATTATGTTGCCCAGGCTGGTCTCAAACTCCTGGCTTCAAGTGATCCTCCTGCCTTGATCTCCCAAAGTACAGGGATTATAAGCATCAGGAGCCACATTTGATCTAGATCATGTATTTTAGTTGCTACTTCAATTCCAATACTTCAAATTTCAGCTCCAATGTTGGAAGGGAAATAAAGACTTATGTAAATAACTAAAACCCCTGCAGACAATGAAAGTGTGGGTTTAACTCTTCAGTCTGAAGGAAGAGGAACAGGATTACACAGGAACAGTCATCAAGAGAGGGTCCACCTGGCTTTGAGGAAACTGCTCACGACTGCTATTAAAACTGAGTTCTTAACTGTTTTAGCAGAAAATGTCAAACACAAAGATAACATAGAGGTATCTCCTAATTGACACTTTACCACATATGCTTTATCATTCTGTGTGTGTGTGTGTGTGTGTGTATGTGTGTGTGTGTGTGTGTGTGTGTGTGTGTTTTCATGTATGAGTACGTATGTGTATACACAGTTTATTTCTATTTCTGAACCATCTGAGTAGATTGCAGGCATAATGTCCTGTTACCCCTCAATTGTTCAGGTCTATTTCCTAGGAACAAGGACATTCTTCTACATAACCACAGTATAATCACTCGTATCAGGTGATTAACGTTGGTACAAACTATTCATATTTTCCATGTTAAAATGTAAGGATATTTTTTCCCCAGATCCTTAAGGTTAGGAGTTTACTTGGGACCTGTCATGGCACTTATGAACAGCAGCTGGTATAAGGAGCAGAATATACCTGTGAATTATACTTTTAATTTGCTGGGTCACATTTTCTCATTACTGTTTTTTCTCTATACCCAAAGTGAAAGGATGACCAATTTAAGAACTAGCACGACTAAAACAGTATGAACTGCCTGCAGACTCCTTCCATCGTGGCCAAATTCCCCAGCATGAAGAGGTCTGCAAGGTGACATGAAGATCAGCTATGCCAGACTTGACCATTTTAAACAAGTACCTTTCCGGCCAGTGGGGAGGAAACAATGCCATTGCCAACATTCTTCTTGGTGTGATCTGGAACCACACTGGGGCGGCTGGGAACGGAGGAGCCTGCTCTGGAGATGGGGCCCTCAGGACTTTTCTTAGAGCTTGGAATTCTGTCAAAGGAAGAAAACAAGTCAAGAGAATTCTCCTACTAAAGCTAAAAAGGCATTACAGAAGTGAAAGATGAGAAAGAATCAGAATAAGTTAAAGTCAAGGCTACAAAAGTATCTTTTTAAAAGGCAGGGCAAAGGCAGAAACCCAGCCTAAGGGAATCCTGCCTGCCCTAGCCCACTCCTCTGGAATCTTACTCGCCTTTCCACTACTGTTACGTGAAGTTACATCACGCCACAGATGTTGGCTTGATATGAGCAGAGCACAGAGCACGTGACAGTTCTTCCAACATCAGATTCTCAACGGACCAGAAAGCAAGAGAGTCCTTGAACACTTCACCCAGGTTCAGCAAAGTTGTATGAGGCAGCAACATTGCCTCGGCTGCCAGGTCCTCCAATCTCCAGGTTGATGCCAATCAGCCCTCAGAGAAGCCCCTTCCAAAAGAGCTCTGCTGCAGCACCCCCCAAAACTTCCTTCCCCGCTCTCAGAGGAAGGGCATTACCTGGCCACCACACAGTGGCAGCACATCTAATTTGGGGCAATACTATAAAATAACAGGTGGTGCTTCCCATTTACATTCCAAGTAGCATCAACGTAGGGACAGATGGAAACCCGTCCTGACCTTCCCCAAGGCTCTGGCTTTTATTCAACCACCAGGTAGATTTGGACTAAAAAGGAACCCTTTCAGGGGACACACTCCATGACACATGATGGGGGAGACAGTACCTGCCCAAACATTTTCCCTCCTTTGGCACTCCCAATTACCTTCAAATAGAAAAAGGTTAGGCAGACCCCAAGGTACAAAAAAAGAATAGGGGGAGGGAGTTCATCTGGGGAGGGTGAGAGTTCATTACCGAAGATAGAACAGCACATAGGCCTGCTGGTTCAGAACCACCTTGACGTTGCTGGAATGGACCAACGAATCGTTCATCTGGTACCACTGTCCATTGCTTGCCTGAAGCAGCCCAGGGTGTTGCAGAAAACAAAACAATCAATAAACATCACATAATCCTCACTTTTTAAAAAGGGAATAAAAAATCTGCGCTTTGTTGCTATATGTATTCAAGTGCTAATTAACCAGTGATGATTTCCTATTAAATGTGTAATGTTTGCATAAGTGAACATGACTCCACTGTGTGTGTTGAGTCTTAGTTCCTTCATAGGGCCCAAGAGATGGAAACTGTACCTTCTGAAGGACGCTTAGGCATTCCAACTGTCATAGCACCTCACACCTACATACAGCTTTCCCCAAGGTTTTACAGGGCTCTAAGGATGGGCACCAGAGGCAGCCATCTCTCAGTATACCATGGCAAGTCCAAGAATATTACAGGTTCCTGTGGAATGATGTTTGGAATGATGTCTAAAGGCATCTTTTCACTCCACACACAGAAGCAACGATTAGGATCTGAATACATCTACAAAACTTCACCCCTTTCTACAGAATGAATGTTTCGCAGAGGCCCAGTCTGGACATGTGCAGATACTGCTAACTTGCCCCCGGAGGCAGCATATGTCTGCTGCCTAGAGCAGTTGAACTGAACACACAATCCCTCACCTTCACGTAGCAGTAATAGTGCCCAGCGTGGCAGCTATAGCCTGAGTGGACCAGCACAGCATAGAGCCCATACATGACAGGCTCGCCGTTACTCTGGGACATATACGGACGGATATTCAGGAATTCCGGATAGCCTACATCCTGTTGGAAAAGTCAAGGAAAAAGCAAATAATAGTCACCTTTGAGAGGAAGCGTCAGTTTGCCCATTCCATCTTCAATCACACAAAATGCCTGATTTGGCTGGACTTGAACAATCTGGGGCAACTGAGCACATGGCAATGCTGCAGCAGGAGCTCCCCACATCAGTGATTAAAAAACATGATGCTGGCCTGCCATGGTGACTCAGCCTGTAATCTCAGCACTCTGGGAGGCCGAGGCAAGTGGATTACCTGAGCCCACGGGTTCGAGACCAGCCTCTATAATAAAAAAATAAAAAATAAATTAGCTGGGCATGGTAGTGAGCGCCTGTAGTTCTGGCTACTTGGAAGGCTTAGGCGGAAGAATCGCCGGAGCCTAGCAAATCGACGCTGGGGTGGCCATGAGTGTGCCTCTGCACTCCAGTCTGGGCGATGGAGTGAGACTCCAACTCAAAAAACAAAACAAAACAAAACAAAACAAAGCAAACATGATGTTGAGAAGTGAGGCCTTCCCAGCTGACCTATAGGTAAGTGAGGCCTTCCCAGCTGACCTTTGTTTTATTGTCCCACAAAGCGATTTCTATATTCTTGTCTTTGTCATGTATCTCAATTAGTTCTCTTACCACCTGGTTCCCAACTGTAAAATGAGATAAACAGCTCATTTGCTTTCCCTTCAACTCTACAGGAATATTGTTAGTGGGAGAACAAGGAGAGAATCAGGTCTTCAAAAACAATGGTGATAAATCAATATAGCCAACAGGTATAATAAATTAAATTTTTAAAGAATTACAGCAGAACAAAGGTAATGCCAAAATTTATTTATTCTAAAAACTGTACTTTTTTTCTTTGAGTCAGATTCTCACTCTTTCACTGAGGCTGGAATGCACTGGCACACTCACGGTTACCACAGCCTTGACCTGCTGGGCTCAGATGATCCTTCTGCCTAGCCTTCCAAGTAGCTGGAACTACAGGCATGCACCACCATGCCCAGCTGATTTTTGATTTACTGTAGAGATGAGGTCTCGCCAAGTTGCCCAGGCTGGTCTCGAACCCATGGGCTCAAGCAACCCTTTCACCTTAGCCTCCCAAAATGCTGGGATTATAGGTGTGAGCCACTGCATCCAGCCTTAAACTGTATATTTTTCACAAGAAAATGTTTTTTAAAATTATCTTTGAACAACAGAAGATAGACCTGCATTTCTGCCTCTATAAATAAATATTTAAAAAAAAACAAAAACGAAGTATAGGCCATTGCCTTGCTAAGCTATGATGTAGTCATGTGCTCCTTGTGCTACGGCCAGGCCATGTTTTCTTAAACTTTGGCCCCTCCCCTACCTTGGGGAGGTGAATCACCTGTTTCTCTCTCTCTCTAATTTACTTTCTAAATAAACTATTCTAATCTTAAAAAAAAGAAGTATCATTTGTAGAATAAGTAGAAATGCACAGATCTTAGGTACACATTTCAATGACTTTTGACAGTGTATACTGACGGAACCCATACTCCAATCAACATACAGAACATCAACCTAGAAAATTCCCTATTGTTGCAGTCACTGCTCCCACCTCAGATGTCCACTGTTCTGATGTGTCATCATTGACTAGCCTGTCCATGAACTTCACGTACATCAGTCGTGCGCTGCATAACGTTTTGGTCAACCACAGACTGCATACACGACGGTAGCCCTATAAGATTATAAGACTGTATACTATATATGCGATAACTTTTCTACGTTTAGATATGTTTAAATACACAAATATCACTGTTACAACAGCCTACAGTATTGAGTACAGCAAGATGCCATATGGAACTGTAGTCTAGGAGCAACAGGCTATACCATCTAGCCTAAGTGTGCAGTACCTAGTGTATACCATCTAGGTCTGTGTAAGTATATTCCTTGATGTTTGCACAGGGATGAAACTGCTTGATGACACATTTCTCAGAATGTACCCTTGTCATTAAGTGATGCATGACTGTATACTATAAACACTCTGCAGACACATTTGAGAAATACTAATCTAAGCAAGCCCCCTCCAACGCCAGTGAGGAAATTGAGGACCAGCCAAGGGCCTCATTCAAAACCACATAACCAGGCTCTAAGAACAGAACTTTAGATTTTTTGAAACACAGACATCTTCTATTAAAATGCCACTGTACAAAGTAGATTTTTTTGCTCCATACGCCACAAGAAGCCACAGGATGCAAATGTACCCGTTCTAGACATAAACAGGACATGGCAGATCAGAGACACACAGTCTGGCCCTCATCATTTATTCAGAAAACCCTGACCTTCCACGTCGGGAACACCCAAAATATAGGAGAGGTTGTGGGACAAATTCAGTAGGACAGTGGTTCTGAAATTTGTGCACAACAATCATTTAGTGACTTTTCAAAAATGCAGATTCCTAGGCTTTGTATTCCAGAGATTCAAATTCCCTGGCTCTGGGGAAGAGCCAGGAATGTGTATTTTATTTTTATTTTATTTGGTTGGAGTCTCACTCTGTCGCCCAGACTGGAGTGCAGTGGCTGCTACCGGCTACCGCAGCCTCGACCTGCGGGGCTCCAGCAAGTCTTCCACCTCAGCCTTCCAAGTAGTTGGAACTACAGGCATGCGCTACCACGCCTGGCTAGGGAACGTGTATTTTAAAAAAGCAACCCAGGTGATTCTGATCCTGACCATGGCCCACTAAGCAGCCTGGGACAGTGTCATAAGCACTCACCTTAGTGATCTTCCCCCCACTGAAGTTGGCAAAGCGCTTGAGGGAGAGGGTTAAGACATTGGATGTTCTATGGATAGTGAAGCGCTTGCTGGCTGGAACCTTCTTCTTGCATCTATGAAGAAAGTGCATGACAAAGGAATTAATTTATGCTCGAAGAATGTCATCGTCAATGTTAGGTTAATAAGATTTGTATCTTTTGCACCCTTAAAAATCAAATTCAATGTCTTTCATAAAGGAAAGCAATTACAGGGAAACAAAGACCAGAGAGAACGTGGAGATTCGAAAGCAAAAATAAAATACCAACCAGGAGATGAAATAAGATGCAGGAAAAGGTTACTTTGGGATGACACAGGAAAGAGCAAATTAAAGCAGATGAGGGCGAGCTATAAAATGGACAAGGATGACACTGATGCAAATACAGCCAGAAGACAGCAATGGAGGGGAGAAGACAGAGACAAAAGTGAACAGCCCCCCAAACTAAGGGAAATGAACTCAAAGAGGGATGCAGACAGCGCTGTGGCACAGAATGAGAGACTTGGAAAGCAGAATTAAGAAAATATTCTTCAGTGATCATGGCTTTAAAATGACCTAGATATAAGGACATCCGTCCAATAAGATCGTGTAACCATTAAAAGGATAAGATAAGAGTTCTGTCTGTGAAAATGGCAAGACGCTCAAGACCACATAAGTAATCAGTGGAAGCCACAGGAAATGTCTCCTTAAGAGGAGGACGGCAGGGTGGTGGGAGCACGGCCTCTGGAGCAGACTGCTCAGTGTGAACCTGTGTAAACCCATGCTCTGCCACATCCTGTTGGTGTGGCCTCAGGCCAGTTGCTTCACCTCTCTGTGCCTCAGTTTTCCCATCCTGGGCAATGGGGAAACAACAGTCCCTACTTCACAAGCTAATATGTGTAAAACCTTTAGAACAGTGACAACTACTGCATAAATAGTAGCTTTAAAAATCATGGCTGTCTCTTCATTTGTGTTATTTAGAGGTTTTTGTTGTTTTTAAGACATATATAGGCTCCTAAAGAAATGTGAGTGGTGAAGGAGGGAGGGAGGGGGACGGAAACACTACTGTTGGGTGAGGTGACTTATTTTATATCTTTCTGGACAGGTCCATCTTCTGCCACAAGCACAGTGAACTCACTTGGCGCACATATAGGCATTCTCTCCACTCAGGACATCTGGCTTCACAAAAACTTCCAGAGCACGCACAATATTTGCAGCTTGCTGAGAAGGACAAAAAAACAGGGGTAAAGTAAACAGCAGAAGAAAAAAAGCTGACTCAAGAAATGCCAAATTTAAGGTCTTTTTCAGGCTGAGGCAGCAAATCACAACACTTGTATGAAAATTGTGCCCACTAGCTGCTGCCTTCTGAGACATGGAAGGAACATCCACCAAAGTAGAGGGGGGCCACTCTGGGACCTCTTATCTCGTGACAAGAAGTGACAGCCCTGGGAGGATTGCCATGAATCAATCACTTTTATCAAGACAGTTTTCAAAAGGGCATCTGCCCCAGGGCTGGGATTGGCCCCATGAAGGTAGCACAGGCTCCCAGGCTTCAGGTGGAACACAGCACTATCATAATGTGAGGCCTGCTCTCCCAGGCAAGGTGCACAGGCAGCCATCCTCCACCCAGAGCACCTGACAGACTCTCCTCAAGCCCTAGTGACAGCACTACTCCTCCTAGTCATGCCTCAGGACACAAAATTCAACCTCGTCTTTTTGGCTCATGCCTGTCATCCCAGCACCTTGGGAGGCCGAGGTGAGAGGGCTGCCTGAGTCCAGGGGTTAGAGACCAGACTGGGGGACTTGGTGAGACCTCATCTCTATAATAAATCAAAAAATTAGGCCGGGCTCGGTGGCTCAGCCTGTCATCCCCCAGCACTTTGGGAGGCTGAGGAGAGTGGATTGCCTGAACCTGCGGGTTCGGGACCAGCCCAGGGAACTTGGTGAGATCTCGTCTATACAATAAAAATAAAAATTAGCCGGGCATAGTAGCACACGCCTATAGTTCTGGCTATTTGGAAAGCTGAGGTGGAAGGATCACTGGAGACCAGCAGGTCGACACTGGGGTGGTCATGAGTGTGAACTTCACTCTAGCCTGGGCGATGGAGTGAGACACCAACATACATACATACATACATACATAAATCAAAAAATTAGCCAGGTGTGGTGGTGCATGCCTGCAGCTTCAGTAGCTTGGAAGGCTGAGGCAGAAGCATCATCTGAGCCCAGCAGGTTGAGGCTGTGGTGGCTGTGAGTGTGCCACTGCACTCCAGCTTGGGTGACAGAGTGAGACTTTAAGTCAAAAAAATAGAGAAAGAAATATGCATAGGAAAAAGGCCAGAAAGAAATGGGCAAAAAATGATGATCTCTACTGAAAGTCTAAGGATTTTCTTCCTTCTCTATTTTGCTCTGATGCCTTTATTGTTCTGTTTGTTCCATGTTGCCCTCACTCTCCTGCCAATGTGGACAGAACAGGTCCGTACCCGAATCTCCAGGGCGATGTCCAAGTAGGGGTCATAGGTGTCTGAGACGCTTTTGCACACGGAGCACTTCACTGAAACAGAACAGACAGGCAGTGGAGCAGGCGCAATATGCCCCACCAGACTCCCACGACTTAGACCTGGGAGACAGACTCTCAGGCTTTGGACAAAGATGATCTTCCCACCAGCCCCTGGAGAACCCGGGTATCTGGAGAGAGAGCTCTCCTTTACCACTGGAGATTACAAAGACCAAGGTCAACACCTTCCCACTCACAAGGCCCTCCCCACATGAATGGCAACCACCACACGTGATACTCTCCAGTTGAGAAAACTGGCCACAACCTGAGGAACTGGGGAAGAGTTGAGGGAAAATAATGCATCATCCCTGAACACCTGCATGTGCTTTTCTCCAAACTTACTCAGGAATATTGTAACAACTGAGTAGAGCTGGTCAGGCAGGTGAGGAGTCTCACAGAGGAAACCAAGGCTCAAGCCCTCAGTGACTTGCCCAGGTCTACACAGGTAGGAAAGAGCTCTGGTCTCTGCTTGAGTTCTTAGGATTTCCTGGGTTAGCAATATTTTAATCCTGATAAGAAGTAGAGAAACGTGATCACTTACCACGGGATCTGAGGTACCCTCCAAAAATTTGATGGACCAAGGTAGTGGCCTGTGTTTGACGATCCAACCTAAAAAGTAGTCACAGCCTTCAAGATAAAAACATGACACCACGAGGCAGCTGCATGCCAGCTCCCCAGTCCCCATTAGTCACCTGGCTCAGCATGATACCAAGAAACCGCACCACCCACCCCAAGTTGCCACACACCCCGAATTTCCACCCTCAGTGGGCCCCTGCGCTGCCAGGTAGTCTCTCTACAGAGCTCTGCCCTTCTCAGCTCCCATGCTCTACAACAGGTACTTCAAACCTTCATGACGCCCCCTGCCTCTCAGTGGGCAACCTCACTGTCCACTTCACAGAAAATAAAAGGACTAAGAAATGCAGCTATATCCTTACCCAGCCTTACCTTTTCTCTTCAGTCTCAATAAAAGAAGTATGCAAATATAGGGTGGGGCTGGAGGTCAAACACCTGTGCCCTGAACTCCAATACCCACCCCGCCTACCCATTCAGGTCCTGGCTCCCCAAGGTCCTGCATGGTCAATAATTCTATTCCAGTCAATCACACAACCAGTCTCTGGCATGGAAAAAAGGACAGAAATAGCCAGGCATGATAGTGCGTGCCTGTAGTTCCAGTTACTTGGAAGGCTAAGGAGGAAGGATAGCCGGAGCCCAGCAGGTCGATGCTGGGGTGGCCATGAGTGTGCCACTGCACTCCAGCCTGGGCAACAGAATGAAACTCCAGCTCAAAAAATAAATAAATAAATAAAATAAAAATAAAAGAAAAAGGGCGGGAACAAAAAATCCTACTTTGACACCTTTTTATAGAGGACAGTGGGATCACGGCATGGGCTTTAAGGTCAGGTGACCCAGCATTCCAACTCCCCGCACCGTTTACTGACAGAAAGCCTTGGGTGCCCCATCGTGACCCTGCCCCTACAGCTGCTAAGAGTACAACATGCCTCCCATGCAGTGTTCATAGGGTAGGTATTCATGTCAGGAGGATTCGGGAAACAACATGCCACATCATCTCTGCTTCTTGTTTTCCCTTGCCACCAACTGCATCTGATTCCGACTCACTCCTCAGGAACTCTTTCACAGAGTCACCAAAGACCTCCAGATGCAAGTCCACCTGGCTTTGGAGTATTTTTACTAAAAGATTACAGCAGCATGAGAATGTGGCCCACTCCCTCAAGACAAGCTTCCCTCCTCCTAGGTGTTCCGGGCCCCGTGTCCCCAGCTGCCTCTTCCAACTCCTCCAAGATGCAAAGTAGTGCTGTTTCTCACTACCCAGGGTCACTTAGAGATTACACACTTCGAGGCTCCACCCCCCCTGCAGTGTGCTGCTGGCGCACAGCACACTTCAGCTTCTCACCCGCTGCAGCGCTTCCCAGACTCCAGAGCTTCAAATATCTCGAAGACCGGCACAGAGTCACCAAATTTTTACTTTGCACGGTTAGGAAACGAAAAGTCAACTGCCGCCATTCTATTTTCACCACCATTCATCAAAAGAAGAGGTGTCTAAATTATAAAAACTAGCAAGGCCATGATTTCAGAGCAGACTGAAAACTGTGGGTAGCTGCATGTGATGGCAGATGACAAAATCCAGATAATCTCAGTCGTCCAGAAGTGAGAACCAGTGTAAACAGAGTCACAAGGAACCACCCTCAGCACAACGTGAAGCAGAGGAAGCACTACTGTCAGGTTACCCACAAGTGGGACGGCAAGCCAGGCCCTAGCAAGCTCTCCCGCATTCCTGCTCCTGCTCCAGCCTCGGGAGAAAAGGAGAGTGGGGACAACTGAGTGAGAGGGAAGTGGGGAGCAGGTGGCCTGAGAGCCTTAATCACTGCTGTGAGGAGCACCCTGGTGTGGAACACTGACTCCAGGGACTCAGGCACACAGCTGAGGTGGCAGTCCCCACAGGCATGGTTTCTCCCAGGGGAAGGCAAAAAGACAAGCAGGCATCTTTAGGAGACTGGGCAGTGAAGGGCAAGAGAAGCAAAAGGGAAAATTTTGGGGTGCTGAACAAAGCCCAAACAGAGGCTACTGACTCTTCTGCCGCAGAGAAAAAGCCAGCTCTTAAAGTGTATGTCACTGTGCAACCAGAGGAGGCGCTTTCAGAGTAAGAATCTCGAAAGCCACCGGATCCATAACATAAATGACAGCAGTCTAAGTCTATGCAGAAGTGCTTTAAGTAGAAATAATAATAAACAGGAATCAAAACACTTCATCATATGAAAATTACCCCCCAGAAAACAAGCACAAACCAGAAAGACAGCAACATAAAACCTTCAAACTGAATTAAATATCCTCAAACAAACAGGGCCAGTCACAATGGATCATACCTGTAATCCCAGGACTTTGGGAGGTCCAGGCAGGAGGATCGCTTAAGGCTAGGAGTTTGAGACTAGACTGGGTGACATATTAAGATATTGTCTCTAAAAATATATATATATTTTTGGGGTTGGAGTCTGGAGTGCAGTGGCACAATTACGGCCAACTCAGCTTCGACCTGCTGGGCTCAGGTGATCCTTCAGTCTCAGCCTTTCAAGTAGCTGGAACTACAGGCATGCGCCATGACACCCTGATAATTTTTTGGTTTATTATAGAGATGAGGTCTTGCCAAGTTGCCCAGGCTGGTTTCGAACCTGTGGGCTCAGGCAATCCTCTCACCTCAGTCTCCCAATTATAGGTGTGAGCCACTGCACCCGACCCCTAAAAAATATTTTTAAAAGTAGCTGGGCATGGTGGCACACACCTGTAGTCCCAGCTACTTGAGAGGCTAAGGTAGGAGGATAACTTGAGTCCAGGAGTTTGAGGATGTGGTGAGTCATGATTGTGCCACTGCACTCTAGTGTGGGTGACAGAATGAGACCCTGTCTCTTAAAAAAAAAGCACAGCAAATATGCTATCTACAATTGTTATAAAATATATTAATATGACAGGGTCGAGACCAAAACTTTCAGTCATAACAATAAACAGAAGGGGCTTAACTTACTAAGAGACATTCAATTTGACTTACAAAGCAAGACTAAACCCTAGGGACACCTAAAAAGTATTCAGAGAATGATGGGCTAAGGGCAAGGGGCAAGTGGAACCTCTACAAAGTAGGGCTGTGGTTCTGACACTGGGCAATGGAGACTCAAGCCAAAGGACACTCGCTGTGACAAAAACTCTCTGTAATACTAAAAGCAACAATTCTCAAGAAGACAAGGCAATTTATGAATATCTAACTGCAAGCATCTATATAAAGCAAAATCGCAGGAGATGCAAGGAGACACAAACACACCAGTCATCAGTGGCTTACCACGTCATTCCCAGCACAGGCCAGACAAGGGAGACACACACACATGTGCACAAGACGAGAGCATCAGCAACTGTGCCAGCCTCCACACATAGGAGCAAACCCTGCACCCCAACCATCTGAGAAGACACCACCACAAGTGCACAGGGAACACTCACAAATGCGGATTCTAATTAGCTCACAGAGAAGACAAAGGGAGTTCCATGATGCAGACATATGATAAGCAGGCTCTGATCACAAAGCAAGTAACACCAAAAATCATCAAAGAGTCAAACAAGGAAAAGGCCCTTCCAGCCAGGCATAGTGGCCCATGTCTATAATCCCATCATTTTGGGAGGCGAAGGCAAGAGGGCTGCCTGAGCCCAAGGGTCTGAGACCAGCCTGGGCAACCTGGCAAAACCTCATCTTTGGAAGGCTGAGGTGGAAGGATCGCCTGGGTCCAGTATGTTGAGGCTGCAGTGGTCATGAGTCCGGCAACACCTGGCCACCTGCCACTTGGCCTCCTTCCTCTTCCCACCAATCCCTGTACCAAAGAATGACTCACCCCCACCCAACTCAAGGTCCAGATCACACACCTGGACTCCTTCCCTCCTACAGTCCCAAATCCAAATCATATTCATTCTACCTCCCATCTCACCCCTTCTGAATTTCTTTCACTGCAGACTCTGGTTAGTTGGCCTGGCCTGGAGCCCACGTGTCGGTTCTTGTCCTAAGAGGTCTCCAAGTGACTGCACTCCAAGCCAGAGCTGGAAGCCCCTGCTGCAGATTCACTGCACATACTCCCCTGGAGGTGATAGGAATGCCACACCCCTCCTCCAGGCCCAGTCCTTGCCTAATTCTCCCCGAGCTTAGCCTCAGGGGTCACTTCCCCCAGGAAGGCTCCTCTGGGTGAGATGATCTCTCTCTTTGATAGCCTTTGCACAGAAGACAGTAAATGCTGGTGGGTTCACCCGTCTTCCCCAATCATACCATGAAGCCTCAGACCCGAGACCGCAGCTTTAATCTCTAAATTCTCAGTGTTGGATACAGGGCCCAGCACGCAGGAGGCAGGGAACAAGCAGCAATGATCACCTAGCTAACTGGAGGGCAGCAAGAGATGGGCAGATGTGAATTTGTATGGAGGGAGGGAGATGAAAGAACATGTGACCAAACTCCCAGAATAAGGAAAAAGTATCCTAGCTAGGAATCTGGTAAAAGGTGTATTTATATAAAGCTATTTATCCATGTTTTCTTTCTTTCTTTTTTTTTTTTGGAGTTAGGGTCTCACTCTGCTGCCCAGCCTGGAGTGCAGTGGGCACAACCATGGTTCATCGCAGCTTCCAACTCCTGGGCTCAAGTGAGCCTCCTGTCTCAGCCTCCAGAATAGCTGGGACTATATATGTGCACCACTGCATCCAGCTAATTTTTTTTAACTTTTTGTAGAGACAAAATCTCCCTATGTTGCCCAGGCTGGTCTTAAACTCCAGGGTTCACAACTCAACTAACTTCTCTAAAGAACATTCTAGGTATGCTTCCTAAATTGCTTAAAGTATTTCCAGAATTCTAAGCCTACACAATAACCAAGAAATTGTGAGCATTTCCTGTCTATTTTCTTTGTCTGAAACCATGAACCTAGGAATGACACAAAAACAGTTTGTGATGGTACTGTCACACTAAGGGAATATGTCACATAAAGCAAGCAATTAGCTACATGCACACTCTGTGCTGGAAATTTGAAATTAAGAAACAGTAATCAGGCAGAGTAAAACTTTAAAAACTATAAACTTCCTAACCTCAAATTGTCCTGTATGTTTTTTTTTTGAGTTGGAGTCTCACTCTGTCACCCAGGCTGGAGGGCAGAGGCACGCTCCTGGCCACCGCAGCCTCGACCTGCTGGGTTCGGGCAATCCTTCTGCCTCAGCCTTCCAAGTTAACTGGAACTACACACATATGCCACCACGCCCAGCTAATTTTTTGATTTACTGTAGAGATGTGGTCTCACCAAGTTGCCCAGGTTGGTCTCAAACTCGTGGGCTCAGGCAATCCTCTCACTTCGGCCTCCCAAAGTACTGGGATTATAGGCGTGAACCACTGAGACTTGCTGTCCTGTATGCTTTAAGTTATATTATGGAGATAGTAATTCCTACCAATCTCATCCTCTGTATCAAAACAGCAAAGTTATTTTTAAAAGACTACAAGAGTCCACAGAAACAAGTTGATCATTCTAAAAAGGTCTGCTAAAGCATCTTCCCTGAACTGAGCTGCTGAAACAGAGCTACCACCGCCATCTGAGGTTACCACACTGCCCTTGGCCAGGAGACCACATCAGGGGACACCCCCTTCCCTGGAGGCAAGGGTAATCTCCTCCTTGAGCTTCAGCAGGTCAAGTGCCCAGATGCAAGTTCTGCCATATCTCTCAGAGGAAAACCTGGGTAGGAAGGACTTGGCCGCCTCACAAGAAAGTTCCACTGCCACCAGTTAAAAAAAAAAAAGGCATATGAAAACCCTCAGGAAGGGTGGGTGGTGAAGCACTCACTTGGCATAGCCATTCAAGCAGGCCTTCTGCATGGCATCGATGGTGTACCGGAGGAACTCGTGTGCATCCTCTTGGTTCCCAAAGCGGAAGTGCCGGGCAATCTCTAAGGAAAGAAAGATTCAGGAAGAGCTCATGCCTTCTCTTTGAACATCCATCAGAGCTTACCCATCGTCACTCCCTAGCTGTCACAAGAGTAAAGCAGTACAACTCTTCAAGGGGCAGGTGATGAGAATAAGAGCTCTCTATGAATGTTCCCTCTCCCAAGCATGATTCATTATGGCCAGTACTTTCTCAGTAAGATCTGAGGCTGCAACCCTCACGACTTCACAAACAGCACAAGTGCCATCGGTGCCAAGCCCTTAAGAATGTCAAATCTGGTCGGGCATGGTGGCTCACACCTGTTGTTTCAGCTACTTGGAAGGATGAGATGGAAGCATAGCCTGAGGCCAGGAGGTCAAGGCTGCGGTGGCTGTGAGTGTGAGATTCCGACTAAAAAAAAAATGTCAAATCCACCGAGTAACTATTTTTCCAAGAGCCTATAGAGAACTCAGATGCATTATAATTATGTCGTAGTGCTACAATTTACAGGTTTCCAAAAACCAAGAACAGGCCTCTCTTTTCTGCCAGGTGAAGGGAAATGAGACCTATATGGCCTGGGGAAACTGGTTCCTGATGGTCAGAAAGGCGCTGGAACATTCCTCATCCATGGGCCTCCCAGCCCTCCTTCACTTACCTGCCTGCACCCCACATGCAACAATCCCCTATACCGGGTCAAAACCTACCTGGTACGACCCATCCCAATCAACAGCCTTCCCCACTGACTCCAGCAAACATGTCTCTAGTCTGCAATGCTGCACACGGTGATTCTCAGCACAGGATTCCTAAGACTTCATTCATAGGTCTTCTCTCCCTTCTACCAACTCCCCAGCACCTGACATAGAGCAAATACCTAGCAGGCATTTAGTAATGACAGATCGAGTCTTACTCTTCAGGTCTCTGATGAAGGAGACAGGCTTGATGGCGTTGCCGCTGTTGGCGAAGGCCTGGATGATGTGGTTCTGCATGACACACAGCATGCAGAAGCTTCCCTGGTGGCCTGAGGTATGGAAGGAGGAGCAATATTAAAACGAGAGCTTTCAAGACTTATTAAAGACACCCACACCCCAACATAAGAAGGAAAGAAGCACAAGCAAACAAGAGCAAACTAGTCTCTGAAAGAATGGCTGAGCAACACAGACCTCAGACCCTGGAAGCCACTCAGTGACCACCACAGACACTTCCCTCTGCTGGACAGCATTTGGGGGCCAAGGCTTCCCCCAAGCTGTAATTCTAACCATTTCATGCCATTACCCTGGGTTAACGCTGATGACCTGGGCAGGATTCTGTTCACATTTCATTCGTGTTATTTACTTGTAAAAAGAATAAGCCAGATTTTCAAAATGAGGCTTAGAAAAATGTCTTCTGCCAATTCTAAGTTGCATCACATGGTCAACAGGCAAAAACATTTTAGGGCTTCCCGCCAGACCCCAGTGTGTGCCTCAAATGGGGGAACTTCGGCTCTACTCCTTCTAGTCCACACTTTATTGTGATATATCCAGGATTGAAATCTTCCTAAGAAGATCAGCTAGTAAATATTCTCCACTTTGAGGACTATATAGTTGGTGTCACAATTATGCAATTCCACCACTGTGAAGCAAAAAGGAACCATAGACAACACGCCAACGAATGGGCACAGAAGTGTTCACCAGAACTTTATTGACAAACACTGGCAGCAGGTCAGGTTAGTCTGCCAACCCCTGCTACATACAAAACGGCTTGCTCCTCATTTAGCATTAGGCTAGACAGTGGTATAATTTTACCTTTAAGATTATGATATATTTTATTTTATTTTATTTTTTTGAGTTGGAGTCTCACTCTGTCACCCAGACTGGAGTGCAGTGGCCGCTCCCGGCCACCACAGCCTCGACCTGCTGGGCTCCAGCGATCCTTCAGCCTCAGCCTTCCAAGTAGCTGGAACTACAGGCATGCACTACCACGCCCGGCTAATTTTTTTTTTTATTTATTGTAGAGATGAGATCTCGTCAAGTTGCCCAGGGAGGTCTCGAACCCGTGGGCTCAGGCAATCCACTCATCTCAGCCTCCCAAAGTGCGAGGATTACAGACAGAGCCCGGCTTATGACATATTTTAAATACAAAGACATGTACAAAGAACATACCACCACCCAGCTCTACCCCATTTTAGGCATCAATGGTGTGCCAAACAATGGTGCAGCAGGTGACCTCCCCCTTAGTTCCTCTTGATCCCATTTTTCATGTTTTTTTCATCCAAGGTAACCACTGTGCTAAATTAGGCAATTATTATTACTTTTGTTTTGAGACAGGGTCTTGCTCTGTCACCCAAGCTGGAGTGCAGTGGCTCAATCATAGCTCACTGCAGCCTTGAACTTCTGAGCTCAAGTGATTCTCCCACTTTAGCCACCCGAGTAGCTGGGACTACAAGTACACACTACCTCACCAGGCTAATTTTTTCATTTTTTGTAGGCATAGGGTCTCACTATGTTGCCCAGCCTGGTATTAAACTCATAGCTTCAAGAAATCCTCCTGCCTTGGCCTCCCAAAATGCTGGGATTACAGATGTGAGCTGCCACACCAATGATTGCTCCCATTCACTGTATATATTGTATTATTACACAGATGTGCATCCAAAAACAATATATGGCACTGTAAATACATTTTTAAAACCTACTTTAAATATAAATTGTACTATATAGTAAGGTATTATTCAGCAACTCTGCTTTTTAAAAATGCATGTTGCTAGACAAAGCGCTAGCTCCTTCAAATCTTATCACAGCTAGACTATTTCACAGAATGAACATACCACTTTTTTTGGTGGGGGTAATCTCAGCACTTTGGGACGCCGAGGTGAGTGGACTGCCTGAGCCCAGCGGGTTTGAGACCAGCCTGGGCAACTTGATAAGACCTCATTTCCTCAATAAATAAAAAATTAGTCAGGTGCAGTAGTGCGCGCCCATAGTTCAGGCTACTTGGAAGGCTAAGGCGGAAGGATTGTCGAAGTCCAGCAGGTTGACGCTGGGGTGATCATGAGCATGCCATTGCACTCCAGCCTGGGCGTTGGAGTGAGACTCCAACTAAACAACAAAAAAAAATCTAAGCCAGGAATACATGAAAGAGACTTTCAAATCTCTGGCAATATACGAGATTAATCCAAGTGGCACTTGGACAAACACCTTTTTTCATATAATTCAGACAAATAAGACTCAAAAGTCAAATTCATGACTTTAGAGACACTGCTACTGAAATGTAGGAAACAATGTACAAAAGGACTGTTCCTCCTGGATTTTTACACAAAGTGTTTATTTTATTTCTTTCTTTCTTTTTTAAAGTGAGAAAGCAGGATTTATTGAGAAGACAGAGAAGCTCCCACAGTGAGAGGGGACCCGAAGGGGTTGGTCCAAAAGTGATTATTTTCTAACTAAGTCCCGGTGCGAGGGTCCTCCAGCCCCACGCTGCCTGCACAGCAGAGCCTCATCATGATACCTCTTGAAGTTCTTGACTCTCTTCAAACACCATATTCCAGGAGGAAGAGAGCATAGTCCAAACCCACTTAGGGTCACTGAGAGATCCAGTGAGGTGCAGGGGAAAATAGACTACAACTTCTCTTGACTTGTTTTACTCTAAAAAAGCTAACAAACTAGGGTGGAAAGTGATACTGGCACCATCCTCAGTGGCTCAGAGGAGGGGAATCCCAAGGGAAGACAGGGTGTTCCCTCACAAGGATGGGCTGATGGGGCTGCTTCAGACACATACTTGCTACCAACACACTGCAGCCTACCACAGCTCACCTGTGCCAGGTTACAAGGATTTACAGATGTGACCTGGTTTAACTAAATTAGTCCTCACAAAGTTGACAAATGGCTCAAAGAGATTCCTGCAGAGGAAACGAGAATGGAAAACAGCTCTACAATGGAAGAGCCACTCAGAGGTTTGGGACAGTGAGAGCTTATAGCCAAAAACATGAAATGAAACAATGATCATCCAGTCAAATCTTACTCAAAGTCCACCCAAAACAACCTCAACATTGCCAAGATGGCTGCTGGAAAAGGGGATTAAGTTACCACTGTGGACAATGAGCTTCACCAGAACAGTGTACACTGTACACTATGACTTGGTATGTGCACCTTTGCTGCTATGAAGCCAACACAATTAGCAAGACATTTACAAACATCGTTTCCATTGCACAACCATTTTTCATGCTTTTAAAAATAATATTATGAATATCCTTGAACAGATCGTGTAATCCAGAACTTTATCACTACATTTTACTTCCTATACTCCCAATCCCCCTGCCTCAGGTTCCACCCTCATTTCCTGATTTTTAATTGTCTAACCTTTTTGGAATCATTTTTTTCTTTAAAGTTTTTATTACATGTGTATATACATACCTAAATACTGAATTGTCTCTGTTTTTGTTTGTTTAACTTAATAAATAGGAATTCATGCTCTATGTAATCTTCTGGGACATTTCTCTTCATTGCACATGATGTTCTTAAGATTCATCCAGAAGTTGAAATTCATTCCTCTGCTCTGCTGTACAGTATTCCACATGATAATACCATAATGGAACCTTCTGTTGAGCAATTGCGTTGCTTACTGTTTTACTGTAGACATGTACATATATGTACCAGAGCTTCTCTACAGGAGTAGAATCTCTGGGTAGTAGATTTTGTGAAACACAATGTCAGACTCTTTTCCACAATAGTTATTCCAACTCAGGCCAGAAATATGAAAAGAACTGAGTTTCATTCCTCTCTGACTTTTGAATTTTTTTAATCACAAAGGTGTAAAATAGCACCCTACCATGGCCTTCATGGAATTTCACTGACTACTAGATTACCAGAAGGCTAAGCATCACTCCCCACACTTCTTGGCCATGAATTTCTTCTTCTATAAAATGCCTGTTCGTAACTTTTATTAACTACCTTCTCTCTGTTGATTTATAATACTTCACATATTTTTTATTTTTGAGACAGAGTCTCACTCTGTTGTCCAGGCTGGAGTGCAGTGGCACAATTACAGCTACCACAGCCTTGACCTGCTTGGTGATCAGTCTCAGACTCCCAAGTAGCTGGAACTACAGGTACACACCACCACTCCTAGCTAATTTTATGTATTGTAAAGACAAGGTCTCACCAAGTTGCCCAGGCTGGTCTTGAACTTCTGGGCTCAGATAAACCTCTTGCCTCAAGCCTCCCAAAATGCTGAGATTATGGAAGCATGAGCTAGCATGCCCAGTCAGTTCTTTATATATGTATATGTGTGTATGTGTGTGTGTGTGTGTATATATATATATATATTTTTTTTTTTTTTTTTTTTTTTTTTTTTGAGTCTTACTCTGTTGCCTTAACCTGCTGGGCTCAGGCGATCCTTATATCTCAGTCTTCCAACTAGCTGGAACTATAGGCACGTGCTACCACATTTGGCTTATTTTTTTTATTTATTACAGAGATGAGGTCTCACCAAGTTGTGCCCAGGCTGGTCTCGAACCCCTGAGCTCAGGCAATCCTCTCGCCTTGGCCTCCCAAAGTGCTGGGATTACAAGTTTGAGCCACCTCGCCTGGCCCTTTGTATATTCTTGATGTTAATTCTACAGGTTTCAGATTATCTCCCAGCTTGTAGTTGTTCTTTTAATGTTCTTTAAGTGCTTTTAATAAACATAAGTTCTTCTTAATTTTAACACAGCTGAATGTATCTGCTTTTCTCTTTTTATTTTTTTTTTTAAGAAAATATCATTAGTCAAGATTTATTTTAAGGTCTGCAAACATTCAGATTAATAAAATGATTCCTACTGGCCGGGCTCGATGGCTCAGTCTGTAATCCCAGCACTGTGGGAGGCTGAGGCAAGTGGATTGCCTGAGCCTGCGGGTTCAAGACCCACCTGGACAACTGGGCAAGACCTCATCTCTACAATAAATCAAAAAATTAGCCCGGTGTGGTAGCATGCGCCTGTAGTTCCAGCTACTGGGAAGGCTGAGGCGGAAGGATCACCGGAGCCCAGCAGGTCGAGGCTGCGGTGGC